GTCATGAAACAAACCCAGTTTGTTGGAATTTTTTGGGGTACATGGTTTGTTTCATGCCCATCTCTAGGCTGGTCTCTTCACCGAATGCCCATCTGGACACAGAATGTTTCCATGCTTAAAACAATAGAGAATATGAAAGGGGAAAAAAGCTCTTCCTCATAGTAGGGGTAGTAGTCCTACATTCCTTGACGACTTCCCCACCTTCAGATACCTTGCCACTTCTGGACAGCCCCTTTATCGGGTCATCCCCACAAACCAGAGTCTTCCTGGCTGTGAAGGAATCTCGGGCAACGAGAGCTGCAACCCTCTGGTGAGTGGCCAGCTGGACCGAAACATGTCCCTGCTTGAAGGAAAGGGCTTCGAACAGGGTTCAGCTTAAGGGCGAGCGATCTGTCCTGCTGAGTTTGGTCTGTAGGGGGTGGCAGGGCTAGGGTTAAGTCGAGAGAAAATGTGGGGAAAGCTCATGTGAGGAGAGAGGAACGCCAGAGCTGCCTTTCATCAATGCAAAGTATGCTGCTTATATACTGCCCCATAGCTCTTAAAGCACTCTCAGGGGGGTGTGTGTGTGTTGTTTTATCATTTAGTTATGTAAGACTATACATTGCCCCCTCCCAGCAAGTGGGTACTCAATTTACTGATCTCAGAAGGCTGGAAGACTGAGTCAACCTTGAGTCAGCTACCTGAGCCTGTCATGATGAAACTCAGGTCATGAGCAGAGTCTGGACTGCAGTACTGCAGTTGAATCCCTGCACCACAGGGCTCCTTCACCACCTTTTTAATTGTATGAAAAGGAGGGAAATTAGCTGGAGAGAAAAACAGGCCGGCCTAAAAAGGATTTGAATCTTGAAGTCTGTTTTACCCTCTTGGCATGATGGAAGCAACAGATCCTGTCATGCCGTTGAATCATTATGCCGTTGAATCATCTCTGAAACAGGCTGGCCGGCCTGCCCCTTTCTGAGGTTATTTCCCTGGTTGTTTTGTTTCTTGATGCTTCTGTTCCCCCCCCTCCAGGAATTCAATGCCTCCTCCTACCCATCTTGCACAGTGGAATGCATCTTTTTCAAGTACAACGACCAAGGGCTGTTCCAGCGCAACCTCTTCAACCTGCAGATCTACAACATCGTGGGCTTCCTCTGGTGCATCAACTTCGTCATTGCCCTGGGCCAGTGTGTGCTGGCAGGGGCTTTTGCCTCTTACTATTGGGCCTTCAGGAAGCCCCAAGATATCCCAACCTGTGCCGTCTTCAGTGCCTTTCTCCGGACCCTAAGGTGGGCAACCTGTGGGGAATCCCCACATGTTCTGTGATGTGGGGTGGGCTTCCAACATCAGGCATCCTCTGGAAACAGCGACATTCGCTCTGTAGGGTCAGACGCACATCCACAGCTGTGCGTGTTGTCAACAGGAAGAGCAGGGGCTGCTTATTTACGTTACGTAGGAGTTAGAAACCACTCTATGTGTGGCTGAATGCACAAATTATGGTCAGATGGCTGACCGATCCTCTAAAATAGGGAAGTGTAACGTGTAGCCTTCACCGAACAGCTCCCAGCATCCCCCATAATTGGCTTTGCTGGCCAGGACAGAGGGGAGCTGGATTCTCACATTTGAAGGGTATCCTTTGCTTTAAAACAGTGATTCCCAATCTTGGATCCCCAGGTATTCTTGGACTGCAACTCCCAGAAGCCGTTGCCAGCACAGCTAGTGGTGAATACTTCTGGGAGTTGTAATCCAAGAAGGGTTTACAGTGGTGCCCCGCATGACGACAATAATCTGTTCCCCTGAAATCGCTGTTAAGCAAAATCATCATCATGCAAAAACCAATTCTCCACTGGAACGCATTGAAACCCATTTAATGTGTTCCAGTGGGGAAATTACCTCGTTAACCAGCGAAGATCGCCCATAAGGGAAGCCATTTTCCAAGCGTCCATCAGCTCTTAAAATGGCTGCTCTGCAAAGCATGGGTCCGGAAAACACAGGGTAGCCATTTTGCAAAGCCGAAAAAATCGTCGTCTTGCGAACAAACAGTTCGCGAAGCATGGACCTAATCGACATCCAGTGAAAATCCCCCATTGAAATGACTGTTTTGCGAATTGCTATAGCAATCGCAAAAAGTCATTGTTCTGTGGTTTCGTCGTTCTGCGGGGTCGTCGTCATGAGGGGCACCACTGTAGTTATTTTAGAGTCCCGTGAGACTTCAGACTAGATTCAGCTGTCTCCAACCCCCAACCTCAATTCTGAATATTTTGTGGAGAATCCTCTATAACTGGGTCTCTGGTTTCTCCTCAGATACCACGTTGGGTCTCTTGCTTTTGGTGCCCTCATCCTCACCATCGTTCAAGTCATCCGCATGATCCTGGAATATCTGGACCACAAGTTAAAAGGCAAGTCGTGAAAAAGCCAGGTGAAAAGTGGAACGTTCATGTCCACCATCATGGTCAAACATTAAGACAAATGTTCTAGAAAGGTTTTTGAAGGCTTTTGACCTTTTACAAGGTAGTGTAGGTATGATCCTCAGCCATGTTCAGGTGTAGCTATCAAGATGATGGGTACAGGATATTCTGATATGGGGTGAGCTCTTCTTCCCCATGCCTACCCCTCAAGTGGCATGTGTGACCAAGTTAGGATGATGACCTTTAACCTGGACCAGAGCATAGGAAAACACCAAATCTTTACTACAATTCCCAGAATCCCCGAGCTAGTCAGGCCACTTGCCTTCCCTTAAAAACCTGCAAAAATGACAAACTTCAGGATAAGCTGCCTAAAACCAGCTGCAGCCCACAGCTTAATACTGTATTGTGCCAAAATGTCCAAGAGCAGCATTATTCAGGCACAGAGAGAGAACTCGATCTAATCTTTGTGTGTGGTTTTTCGCAGATTCCCACAATCCAGTCGCCCGGTGTATATTTTGTTGTCTGAAATGTTGCTTCTGGTGTCTGGAGAAGTTTATCAAGTTCCTCAACAGAAACGCCTATATTATGGTGAGCGTTGCTGGTGGGCTGGAGAGGTGACCCAGTCGCTACCACAGGATAAATTCGGGGGGAAAGCCCAGAAAGCATTCAAAGGGGCATATAATGTAGGGGAGTTGATCTGGGGTTCTTGGAAGGTTGAGCGCCAACAATGGTTTGTAGTTGATGGGCGGAGCTTGAGAAGAGGGGGACGGAAAGGGCCACTGGCTGTAGCTGCCAATGTTTTATCTATAGAATTTCTGCTAGGGTATTATAGGCCAAGAAAGTAATTCTGTGTGGTTCATTTGTATGTAGGAAAGTCAGGTTGGCTCTCCCCACTTGGCTGTCATTAAGCTTCCTGGGCAGTTGCTACAGTCTGCCCAAGGGTAGGACCATCTTTGTTATGAGCAAGTAGAAACTGGGGAGAAACATAATGGGGGGTTGGTGGTGATGGGGATGGCAGGAGAGTGGTTTTTGGAAGATTTAACATGATCATCTTACCTTCGGAAATTCTTTTTACCTCAGATTGCTATTTATGGAAAGAATTTCTGCGTCTCAGCCAAAAATGCCTTCAAGTTGCTGATGCGTAACATTGTCAGGTAACCAAGCTGGGAGCCATTTGGTGGGGGGGACGGGGGGGCGGAAAGGCCAAGCAGGGCTGTATTTTTCAGTAAGAAGACATTCTCAATTCTCTTTTTTTCCTTTTCTTCTCCCTCCAAGAGTTGTAGTACTGGACAAAATAACAGACCTGCTCCTATTTTTCGGGAAGCTTCTGGTGGTCGGTGGAGTGGGTGTCCTGGCCTTCTTCTTTTTCACGGGGCGAATCCCCATCAAGGACCCTCGGTTCCAGTCGCCCGCCCTGAACTACTATTGGCTACCCATTCTGGTATGTAACTTAACTGGGACTTCTATCATTTCAGTATGTAACTTAAGCAAGACTCCTTACTTCTTTTTCTGTGTAGCTTTTGTTTAGAGCAAAATTTACTTT